ATGGATTTACATGTATAGCTATATGAATTTACAATAATTCTCTAAAGCTAATACAAAATAGCATTTTAATTGATTTAAACAGAGGTAAAAGAAAGTGTATAGAAAAGGCATATTACTAGAGATATTATTTGCTAAACTGAGATCTCTAAAGTTAAAAAATAAACAAGAAAATCATTAATAGCTTACAGTTATAGTTTTAACTTTTAAACCTTAGACAAATTTGAAAGATAAGGATGTTGGCACTGTTATATTTCCTTTTAACTACCTTCTACTTGCCTTCAAATTTCTGTTTATTATATGGTTATCAAAAAGAAGAAGAAGGAGAAGAAAACCTTGAACAACATCCAGTCCTCAACATGAGCTTATTTCATAAACCATTGCTATGACAAACCTAGAGACTATATCAGATCTGGACAGACTTGCACAAAGAAAATAGAGGAAGTGAGGAACCAGAGACTACATACCATCTTTGTTGGAACTGCCTTTTTTTCTCTGTGAGATTTTATTAAATGTCCAGTAATAGAGTTTTTGTACCTAAATAAGGATTTAACTTACTATTATGTGAGGATATCTTTAGGTTTCATACCATCCATGCGGTTTTCCAGGCAAGGATACTGGAGTGGGTTGCCATTTCCTTCTCCATTGGACCATGTTTTGTCAGAACTCTTCATTATTACCCATCTGTCTTGGGTGGCCCTGCATGGCATGGCCCATAGCTTCATTGAGTTATGTAAGCCCATTTGCCACAGCAAAGCTATGATCCAAGAAGGGGTATGAAACACCAAAGGCTTTGACTGTGTGGATCACTGTGGAAAATTCTTGTACCAGACAACCCTACTTGTCTCCTGAGGAACCTGCATGTGGGTCAAGAAGAAACAGTTAGAACCAGACATGAAAAAATGGACTGGTTCAAAATTGGGAAAGGAGTGTAACAAGGATTTATATTGTCACCTTACTGTTTAACTTATATGCAGAGTATATCATGTGAAATGCCAGGCTGAATGAATCACAAGGTGGAATCAAGATTGCTGGGAGAAATATCAACAAACTCAAATATGCAGATAATTATCACTCTAATGGCCGAATGTGAAGAGAAACTAAAGAGTCTCTTGATGAGGGTGAAAGAGGAGAGCGAACAAGCTGGCTTGAAGCTCAACATTCATAAAACTAAGATCATGGCATCTGGTCCCATCACTTCATGGCAAATAGAAGAGGAAAAAGTGGAAGCAGTGACAGATGCTCCAAAATCACTGGGTACAGTGGACAGTGACTGCAGCCATGAAATTAAAAGATGCTTGCTCCTTGGAAAAGATATGACAAACCTAGAGAGTGTATTATAAAGCAGAGACATCACTTTTTCGACAAAGCTGTATAGACAAAGCTGTGGTTTTTCCAGTGATCATGTATGGAGTGAGTTGGTCCATAATGAAGGCTGACTGCCAAAGAATTGATGCTTTTGAATTGTGGTGCTGGAGAAGACTCTTGAGAGTCCTGTGGACTACAAGGAGATCAAACCAGACAGTCCTTAAGGAAATCAACCCTGAATATTCTTTGGAAGGACTGATGCTGAAGCCAACACTGCAATACTTTAGCCATCTGATGTGAAGAGCTGGCCATTGGAAATAACCCTGATGTTGGGAAAGATTGGAAAGTGAAAGTGAAAGTTGCTCAGTTGTGTCCGATTCTTTGCAACCCATGGACTATGGAATTCTCCAGGCCAGAATACTGGAGTGGGTATTCTTTCTCTTCTCCAGGAAATCTTCCCACCCCAGGGGTCGAACCCAGATCTCCTGCATCGTAGGCATATTCTTTACCAGTGAGCCACTAGGGAAGCCCATGTTAGGAAAGATTATGGAGGCAAAAGGAAAACGGGATGGCAGAGGATGAGATGGTTAGATGGTATTACTGACTCAGTGGACATGAATTTGAGCAAATTACAGAAGAGAGTGGAGAACAGAGGAGCCTGCATGCTGTGGTTCATGTAGTCACAAAAAGTTGGACACCAATTAGTGACTGAACAACAGATTACTCAGATTCAGATTAGTTCCCTGATTTAGTGTGCGTTTGTTCCTGGAACATTCAGACTGGTCACAGAGATTTCACAGCTCGTTTCATTTGTTTCTCTCAGCAGCTGCTTTTAAGATGAAAAAAATCATTTCTTTCAATTTACATCTCTCTTGATTTGAAGTTACTAGTGAGAATTTTTATTATTTTGATCACCATTATGACTTTTGGGAACACGAACAGAATTGGGAGTCTCAGCCTGTCTCAAACACATTTTATTTCTGTCATTAACCACATCTTTTGAGATTTATGACATAAAGCTATATGTTTTTTCCCATATGATCATTGCTGGTGGAAGTTTTCTCCTCTAGTTTTTACTCTTTTTGTTTGTTTTTGTTAGATATGGAGAGGCAGAAATTCTTTGATGCAGCTCGATTCTACTATGGTAACCTGTAAGTTTAAGGCAGTAAGTTTTTAAAGAAACACCTTTTCCGTAATAGAAAATAATCATTAAAAATAGAAAATGCCTTCAGCTTCAATTTTGCAGCAGCTGCAGAGAAATTTTTCATAATGATGGTTAATGTAGAAATCCTCAATGACTTCTGCCTGGTAGTAGCCAAATATTAAAGTATACTTCAAAATGAAAGGTATTTTTTAGGTGCAGAGAAAAATGTGACGATATAAATCACTTTCAGGTGATCTAACATGATAGAAGAAAAGATTCACGATCTTCTGAGTAGTACATGGTTAGAAAGCATGGTTTAGTCCAGTTTAATGTGCAAGTAGCATTTTCGAGGAGTTTTTCTAAAAATGCAAATCTTAAAAAATAAATAAAATAAAAATAAAAATGCAAATCTTGAATCAGTAGGTTTTGGTTGGGACCTGAGATTCTATGTTTTTAGCAAGCTCTCAGCGAAACAGGTGGTACTTTTAGTAGCAAAATTCTTCACAACTGCAGACTCAGAGCAACTCTAACTAAAACCCTTTAGGCCAGAGATTATAGCTTATTCATCTTGCAAACCTGTTATATAATAAAGTGCCTGAATAAAAGTATGCCCTGAAATATTATTTTGTTAAATAAATGAATTGATATGTTAAATAAATAAATCACTACTAGATGCCTGGAATATCTGTATTCTCTGTTAATGATTGACAAGGAACCCTTCTGTTTTGGAGACCATTTGCATGAATGATAAGATTGCTAGTTTCTCTTAAAAAATCCAAAGTCCTAATAAAATTTTTGCTTAGTTGAAACTGTTGTACATCACACAGCTACTTTGGGCAACAAAATATTACTTTTCAAATACTTGAACATATTCTTAACTGGTTCTCAGTTTGGTTGTACACTGGAATGATGGGTATTTTTGCTTTTTTAATTCTCAAATAAACACTTTGATTTATGAAAGTACCACATAATCACCTTTATTTCAATAACCATTGATAATTTGTGTGTGAGCTTTCTTCAGAACAAAATTATAACTATATCAGGGGTGTGAGTGAGAATAGGAAAAAAATCATTTAAAAATCTTGAGTTGTCCTTCTGAATAATTATCCTGCATTCTGTGTTACCAGTGAATTTGAGAACTGAGAGCACTGTATGTTACATATAAGTATCAGCCTTACTTATTTACTTACACATATACACACGTATGTGTATGTATGTCAGCCTGCTAGGGCTCCCCTGGTGGCTCAGACAGTAGAGTCTGCCTGCAATGCAGGAAACTCGCCTTTCATCCCTGAGTCAGGAAGAGTCCCTGGAGAAGAGAATGGCTCCCCACTCCAGTATTTGTGCCTGGAGAGTTCCATGGACAGAGAAGCCTGGGGGCTACAGTCCATGGGATCACAGAGTCAGACACGACTGAGCAACTAGCACTTAATCAGCGTATTACTGGTGTTTCACATCTGATTATCAGCACATAAATGATATAATTGTATTATTAAATTGTGGACCTGGATTGTATAAAGGAAATGAAACAGTAAAATACCAAAGCAAGTATTTAATTACAATTTAAATGAGCAGTTCATAGTTAAAATGTAGGATAGATGAATAGAACTAGCAATAGAAAGAGAGATCCTCTATAGCAGAGATCCTTGTCCTATTCTTTACAAAATTAACTAGGTAACTTTGAGTAAATTATTTAACTACATTGCCCTTCAGTTGTCTTACCTGTAAATTGAAGAGGCAAATCTACCAAGGTCTCTACCAACTGCAAAACTTTGTGGTGTGTAATCTGAACTAAGGGTCATAGTGTTGTTGTGGGGGAAAAAATAACTTTAAGCAATCATTTATTCCTACACCTTTCCTTTAGGGCAACTATGTAAAATAAATTCTGAAAAATGTAAAACTTTCCTAAACAACTTGAAACTAGCCAAAAGAAAAAAAAAATATTGAGTCAATCACAGGCAGAATATAGAGGAACATGTCTTGATGGTCCAACAGATCTAAGTTTAAATTCTAAATATTTCCCCTTCTAGTTTGTGAGCCCATGAGCAAGTACATTTCTTGATCTCTGAGTCCATTAATGAAAAAAAAATAACAAAAAAAGAATGAGTCTGTTTCCTTAAATGTAAAATTGAAGTGTGAATATTTACCTGACAGGATTGCTATACTTATTAAATAGTGAGATCATTTAATTAACACACAGTGCTCAATTTTTAAAAACCTAATATATTTTGAATGGTTGAAGACATCTTTAGACATCCTATTTAAAGACATAATGAGCCTTAATTATAAAATATTTATGCTGTTTACTGTGTTTCATTTACTTTCAAGAATTCGATGATTGAATATTCATTTTCTATGATCAGTAAAATAAATACCCCAAACTGCAGTGTCTTTTGGTTAATAGTGGGACTGTTCCATGAATTGTGCTTCAGATTTTTCTCATGAGTGTTCAATCTGTTTCCTCACTGAATACAAAGTATTCCAGTATGTGGATGTTTTGAGTAGGCAAGCAAATCCTTCTACATGTGACAATATTATTATTTTCTTTCAGGAAACCCTGATAGATTGGTGTGATGAAAAGGAACTTAATTTGATATTAACAACTGGAGGAACAGGGTTTGCACCACGAGATGTCACTCCAGAGGTGAGATAGTATATACTTTTCTGATATTCAAGAAGTAGACTATTCATGTTATTTTTAATCCTTTTAATTATTTTTGTATGGCTTTTGTAATTTTGCTAGACAGAAACGACACCTGTGGTTCTAAGAATGTGAACATTTTGCAGTGGTTGAATATTTACATTTTTTTTAAAAAGTTTCTTGACTTCTTTTCTTTTGACTTAAACTAGATATTATCTAAAATGAGGAAGATTGAACTGGTCCAGAAGGTAATCTTGCATTTGTGGTATGTGGTCTGTGGTATTGGCTGAATTTCAGGCATATATTGCTAAAGGAAGTGATAGCAGAACTCTGACTTAGCATGGCATATGATCTGATGTGCTGTGTTAATGTAATTCAAAATATATCTGATTCCTTTTTTCTTTAGATACCCTTGTTTTGGTCTCAAGTAGAATGACTGTAATAGCATTTTTATACCAATTTTATAGTATTTGATGAGAAAGTTATATATTCCATAATTTTAAATGTGAATTTAAATGCAGAATTTAATAAGCCAAGAAGCAAAATTAGTATCTAGGCTATGTCTTAAGAATCACCTTCAACCTTGCATGGGAAAAAAAAAAAGTTAGGGAAAGAATGAAGAATAAACAGCACTCAGTGATAGAAGGGGAAAAGTCTTTCTTTCTTTTTAAAGCAGCCATAAACTTCAGCTGTAATTTTAGAGTCATGTGCAGACTTATATTCATACTTAGACATTGTTGTGCTCACTTTCCAAAAAGTGTTTCTTGGCTGAATTTCAACTTACTGTTAGCTGTTTTGTTTTCTTTTTTTTTTTTAATTTTCAAGTCAGTATCCCATTGTGTCTACTGACTTATTCACAGCAAGATATTTTTGCTCTGTACCTATTAAATAATTGTTGTCCCACTTACTCTAATATAGGAGTTTTCAAACTTTAACCTGTACCCCCACCAAAGGTAATACGTTGCTGCATCTTGCCCAGAGTGTTTCTGATTCAGTAAATCTGCAGCGGGTCCCAAGACTTTGTGTTTCTGGTACGGCCCCTGGTAATGCACATGTTGCTGGCCGATAACCATGCTTCCAGACTTTGGGTAACACTGCTCTAGTATGTGAAAATGTAAATTGTTTTAACAGATTGTAAAATAATTTATGTTTTTCTATGTAAAAATCACAGAAATTTTGTAAATAGGCTTATAAATATAATGGTTTTGTTTTTAAAGCTATCAGAATAGAGTCGTATTGGAAGATTGTTAGCTTTCAGTACTTAAAAAAGGTGGGAGGGGGTTTTCAGGATGGGGGCACATGTACACCCATGACTGATTCATGTCAATGTGTGGCAAAAACCACTACAATATTATAAAGTAATTAGCCTCCAGCTAAAATAAATAAATTATTTTCTTAAAAAAAAAAAAGAAAAAAAAAAGAAGTCATTCTTACATAGCTCTTGAGTCCTTAGGGGAAATGATCCTTTGGCCAATTTTTTCATTTCTTTTAAACTGTGAGGCTAACTTAAAAAGATAAAATTCGAGGTAAGCCATCTCCTCTAGAGGTGTGTTTATGCTTTGTTTGTGAGAAAGTCACCTACGTATGTGAAGACCTTAATTTTTGAAGTTTGAGTGTTGTGTTAAGTGTTTTAAGTAAATGACTTTGGTTTTATATAGCCCTTTTGTTTATGTAATGGTTTGATATTTTCATAATATTATTTTTATATCATAAAAGTAGAAAAAAGTTACCATAGAATTCATTCATAACCAGTTAACAGTATTATTTTTAATTGTGAGAAAATAATTTGCATCACAAAGTATTTTGTATTCCCTAGAGTTTCAAGTTTATTCCAGAACACTAGGTTGCAAATTCACACTTTTAAATTCTGGCTCTGCTACATATGACGCGGTGAGCATAGACTAGTCATTAAACCATTCTGTGCCCAGTTTCCAGTAAAGTGTGGGAAATGAGAGTGCCTGTCTACCAGGGTAGCTGTGAGGATTCAATGAGAACTATTTTTGCTAAGAATACGAAAAACTATTTTTATCTTTTAGTTAATAAATGGTAATTTTTATTAGTTATTACATAACTACCAAAGTGGACAAATTTGTGGTATTTTTTATATATATCAAATGGACAAAAACAGTCAAATACTGAAGTATTATCCATGCGGTCTTTGTGATCTTGGTAAATTTTTAAATCTTTTGATGTAGTAAGCTTCATATTTTATCTTTTCTTTCTCGATATAAACCAGAGGTCTTGAAATTCTATCATTCTGGCATCGATTTAGCCCCCAACTTTTTTTTTTTTTTTGCTGTTGACAAGAGTCTGTGTCTTTCCATTACCTTGTATATGGCATTATATCAGAAATTGAGAGATCCTTTATTATTCATTGAAGTTTTTCAGAAAACCCTAGAGATGCTCTTATATTTGTATATGCCTATAGCAGTTGCTGGCTAAAATTTGTATTAGGGTTGTTTTCAATGAGTTTAAAATACATGTAGTTATGTCTTCCCTAATACCTGTTTTTGAAAGCAAGTGACTTACCTGATTGTAAATATCTTGATCTTTAATGGATCTACTGTATTTCATATTTTTATACACACACACACACACACACACAAATATACACATACCCAAAAAGTATGGTTATCTACAGCAAAAGTCCATAGCACTGTTAAGCCTTTGAAAAATAAGTGTAAAAGCCATCTGACCACTCAAAAATAATTCTACTAATTTCTTCTAATCTTTAAATAGTTGCAATTCTTATAATATCTAAAACATAGCACTGGAATGTCAGCTAGTAATCCTGAAATATAATTTTGTGCCTGTAATAATATAGTTACTTGTCTTTATCTTATTTGTCTTAGATAATTGTGCCTAAAAAGGTTAACATATTGATAAACCACATGTGCCTATATACAACTGTTTGCAAATCTTTTTAAATAGAATCAGAAGTTATTGACGGAAAACACAAATATTAGTGATAAGGGTAAAATAATATAAAATTTCTTCCTTAAGTCAGTAATTGTCAGTAATTAGTTTGATCTACAGACACAAAGTACAAATTGTTTGTGGGTTGTTTAAAAAAAAAGGGACGGTGAAAAATACTAAGTTGAATGATTAAAATAAAGCAATCTAAAGTTATTGTCACTGGATATGAACCTTAGAGAAAATGAAAAGTTAATAGACTTATCCAGATCTATTAACAGAAAAATGGAATAGCAACTTGAGTAAAGTGTATCTTATTTATATATTTTATAGGAATAAGGCAGTCAGAATTGACTTTTCTAAATTATGAATTTGTTTCTGCTTTTTGGCACCATATCTTAGAATGTGGTTCATCTGATAGTCACATGCCTGCTGGTCCCCTCCCTTCCTCTAAACATGAGATATTATCAAAGCTTACATCTAGTAACATAATAATCCCTACTGTACAACTTTTTAGAGTTTTATTTGATGTAAAAAGCTTATTTTTTGGTAATAGATTGTGTTTTCTGTGAACTGATAAAGGTTGGATAATCTGTTGACATTGGTGAAATGCGAGTAATAGAATTTTATAGTTATATAGAACATAAGAACTCATTGGTATACAAAGTATTATATCTTCATGTTCCACTATCACTTAAAAGTTTATATATCCAATATAGGTATTATTACATAAAGAATTTTTCATTATTCTTAAAAAGTAAAAGTATAATTAAGGATGTATAAGTGAGGTAAAGTGAAGGTCTTTTAGAATTAAAGTCTAGAAGACAATAAAAGATTAAGCAACATTTATTTTAAAAGGAACATCTATATGATTACAAAGAAATGTTTGATATTATGTTTTGGTAAATTAGAAAATATTACACTATTTAATATTTGTTAGGTAAAATTAAGTTTTAGCACTTTCATAGTGCTAAGCTAAACCAGAGTAAAGGATTGTATAGTAATATATTATGATTATGAATTAAAGGGTTAAATAAAATCCTAGCATGCATCTTAAATCTCATTTATTTATTCATTTATCAGATTTTTTATTTTTAATCCTTAATATGTGTCTGATGCCATGCTGGGTGCTGGAGTTAAAAAATGAGTAAGACATGATCCCTATTCTCAACTCAGTCTATCCATGGGTCAGCAAACTATGGCCTATAGGCCAAATTCAGCCTATTGTATTTTTTTGTATGACTCATGAACTAAGAGCATATTTTGATTTCTTTCAGTCACTTAATGACTGAAAAGTCATTAAGTGACTGAAAGAAATCTAAAGGAAAATGATATTTTGTGACATATGAGAGCCATTTGAAATTTGGATTTCAGTTTCCATAAGTGAAATTTTATTGGAACATAGCCACACTCCTTCATTGACCTATTGCCTGTGGCTACAATAGCAGAAGAGAATAGTTGAATGAAAATCAATTAGGCCTGCAAAGCCTAAAATATTTACTGTCTGATCCTTTGCAGAAAAAGTTTCCCACCTCTGGTCTGTTAGATAAAAAATAGTCATCTTTATTCATGTTTTTAGCAGACTTTTTAAATTTATTTTTACCATTTGTTCTTTAGTAATTTGAAATGATGTTGAGTTTTATTTCTTAAATATTTAATCTTGGAAGGAGCAAGGAAAGAACACTTTTCTTCCACAGTAAAGTGTATTGCCCCATTGTCTCAGTAGACAATATAGAATAATAAAAATCAAAGATCCCTCATATAAATAATATATAAAATTTTGAAGTTTCAAAATTGATCAAATTATTGGATTTGTTAAACATTGTTTCACTCTTAAATATTTTTCTTAGTAGTACCTCCTAAAAAGTGTCCTGATCAAATTTGTCATTATGAAGTAATCAGACAAAAGACAGAATTACAAAATGTCAGGGAATTATAAATTTGATGTAAAAGATATTCATTTAAAAGGGTTTTTGTGGTTCATTTTGGAAGTGAAGAGGCATCTCACAATGACTAACTCTGACAGTGATAAAATAATCTGGTACAAAGGATGAATTTCTAGGAAAAGATTATGAACGTCACAACACATA